TACGATTTTTTTGTAAAATAATAGAAGTTATCCTTTAGCATAATTATAGGAATTATCCCTTTCTCTCTCTCTCACCCTCTTCTCGTTAATCTCTCTCTCCCTTATCTCTTTCTTTTTTTCGTTCTTTAATCTCTTTCCCTCATCTCTTTCTTCCTTTTTTTTTTTTTTCCTCACGCTGCAAATCTGAGAATTTTCGTTGTCCCTTTAAATCGCTCAAAATCCCAGACCTTAAATCGCCGAATAATCTAGGTCTCTCATCAAATCGAGAGCCATCGATCTTTCTCTGTCGGTGATTTCCATGAGCAGAAGCGACAATTCCTTTTTCCTTTTCGTGATTTGCAGTATCCACTCGAGATTAATTCTGCAGCATAGTCGCCGACTTCTCCGCCATTAGTATCAGCAGGTTCGAATTTCAGATTCCTCGCATAGCCGTGAGTGACCCATCGCCAGCGCCGAGAAGCCATGGAGATCGGGCCCATTCACTCGGCCCGAATCCTCACCACCTTCACCTCCTCCATCTTGGCCCCTCGATCCTCGAACATCAGCGACCTCCTCGATCAATGACCTCCCGTCGGTTTCTGTTCACAACCCTTGCCGACGAAGTAGAGAGTAGTCGGCGACCTTCTTACAGCATCAGCCCTCGTCGGTCCCTTCAGCGTGAAGGGTCGCGACCTTTTTCCTTTTTTCGATGGGTCTCGCCATCAATTTTGAGCAGTCATTTCCCGAAAGGTTCGTTTCCGAGCAGCAACAACACGGAGCCGCCATTTTCTTTTCAACGAACATCAGCCATTCGCGGGGCCCGTGCGAGAAGAGTAGCGATCGTTTTGTTGGGCAAGTTCGCCGAGAGCTCTATTTGAGAGTAGCAACCTCTGTCAGTCATTTAGAAGAATTGTGTATCTATGTATAATTCCACTTTACAAATGTTTATATATTGTTTATCTTATGTATAACTATACGATTAATATTAGGAAACTGCCATATCATGTTTATCTGATGTATATATGCAATCTGAACATGTACTTGGAGTCATTTTAGAATTGTGTATTATGTTTTATCCCGTAGTGTTGTTTACATGTTGTTTATTTTATGTATAACTATACGGTTAATTTACATATTGTTTACATGTTTAAATATTAGAGTACTGTCTGATCATGTTTATATATTGTATATATACTGTATATCTAAACATATATTTGGCGCTTGGACGATTTTTTTTCGAAAAATAAAGATGTCGATTAATTGTTGAAATTTTGAAATCAGATTTTTTATTTTTTTTTCAAATTTTATTTTTGCTTGTGATTATTTAGCCCTAAATTAATACATGTTTAATATGGAGATAAAAAATTATGAATCAGTGAGAAATCTCATATCCCAAAATTAATGCAAGTTTAATATGGAGAGAGAGAAAATTAATGCAAGTTTAATACATGTGTTGAATTGATTGAATGTTATTAATTGGAGAGAGAAACTAAGCACCAAGTGAGAAAAAAAATCACGTAAATGTGAAAAAAAAAATCACATCTAAATCCTCTTTTGATTTTAGTTTATCAAGTTCGTATTTATGTAGATAAATGTAACATGGAGTCTACATATGTAAATTTCCCAACAAATTATCCGTCACGTATATATTGGGTTGGACCAAGTCAGGAAAAAGTTAGTCCAACTATTCCTTGGGCCAAACCCAACGTTTTTATCTTGAGAAAATTATACATTTAACTTAAAAAAAAATTTCATTTTATTTTTACATTTACAAAGTTTTATTTTAGTCACAAA